AATAAAGTAAATATTGAAGAAATTGAATTAGGGTGCAACGGAATAGCAATGTAAACGCGTTTTGTAAAATTAAATTATCAATTGAGATGGTACGAATTGAATTATCGGACTCCGCTCTACGGGAATGTGATATTTTATTAATCCTACAGATGAGGGGAAAATACGTGGACACGGGCAGTGTATGTGTTAAAAATAATTATTCGTCAGTAATTCAACATGACGCGATCGTGAGTAACAACGCGAGCATAACGAGTTGTTTTTACACGTTCGCGTTCTGTTTCCTCGCAATCCATATTGTTTCGATTGAAAGAACACACGAAAGAATTTTAGCGGAATGCAAAATTATCCAATTTCCCGTTTTGGAATTTCTCAAAAGCACGGGCTTTTTCATTCGAACGGAATCTGAATTAAAGCTTTGAGAGACAACCAAGAACTGTGGCAGGAAATGGAATCCCGTTTGAAAGTAATCTTTCAGTATTTTTATTCAAATTTATTTTTATTCGAGGCGGGACCGAGAGAGAGAGAGATTCCGGTGAAAATACCCGGGAAATATTTTCTGATGACGATGAATCATTTTGCACAGGATGGATCGAAATTACGCCATAATATAATCTAGTCACGGGCAGGCGACTGTTCCGGCGATGAATGATGACGAATACGCGTTATAGTATACTAGTAAAATATGCAACAGTTTACTGTTACCGTCGAGTTATGCTATCACGCATTATTGTACGAAGATATCTTTAACAGGAAGTATCGTCAATCTTTAGAAGAGTTTTTATTTTGTTTCAAGCTGAGAAGAATATTAATTAAAAAAATCTCTTTTCCGTGATATCAATTCTTTTACCTCTGTGAACCTCATGTTTCAAAAAAATTTTTTTCAGTTCTGAATGAACCCCGAAGAGTTCTAGAGTTCCTTATCAATTTTAAAAATAGTTCTGGCGAATTAACCTAAAAAAGTTAAATTTGAAACTTGGCGATGCTAACTTCACAAAATGAAATCTCGAAATCGGCGATAACACTAAAAGTATTGGAAATAGGTAATTCTTTTATATGTGATACGAAAGTAAATGATTCTGTTTTACATTTTCACTTGAAGATTTCGCCTGTTTTTTTGCGAAATTTGAATGATTTATTTTAATCGTAAATATATTCAATGAAAAATTTAAGAAACGACTGTTGGATTGAATCTTTCAAGTGAAAGTAAACCACAATATCTCGATTACAAAATAATATCGGGTAAATTTCAGAATATAAATTGCTATTGAAAATGAAAGAGCATCTCCCGGGTCTCCGATAAAAATCGTTCTAGAGATATTAATTAGAAAATTCCGTGCTACAAAATCAGCTTAATACTTACGGAAGAATTTATGATGAAAAATGCGATGTTTGTGAAATTGTGTCGGGGAAAAATCGCGCGCGTAAAAACATTCTGGAAAATGTCTCGAGTTTTTCTCGGAGCAGTTATTACATTTGAAGGGACTAAATTATGATTAAATCTCTCGCTCTCTCCCCCCTACATTTATTTTTATTTGCATAATTATGCGTAAACAGTTAGAAGAGGAAACGGTCTGCGCGCCATACTAATTGAAATAATTGTTCAGGTTTCATTTTTCACTTTTCAAGATTATTTTGAAACAAACGAAATAAATGTCGAAAAAGTCTGACGGATTTAAAAGATGAATTCGCGACTCGAGGAGCGAAAGATCTCAGTTAAAAAAATACTCAGGTGCGAAGGTCGAGGAAACTTTTGAAAATTTATACGGTGATTTGTTATAATTGAAATACTATTATACCATTTTTAATATTTTATCCGTCGACGAGAACGCCCGGTGCTCTCGATCACAGGCTCTCCACGTACTCTCTCGGTATCCTTTTATTTATTTGTCAGGAGACGGACGTCGCTGCGCATGTGGAGCGTCCTGGCCTGCGCGGGCTGCATCGACCCTCAAACCCATTTCGTACTCTCCAGCAGTACATGCCTAGCCGGATCCCACCGTGCCGGGATAATCGGGGAATAAGTGAAACGATACCGTGTGGAATTGATCGAGTTAACCGTTTAACATTCGCCGAGGAGACGAGAGAGTGAGAGAAAAAGGGAAAGAGAGAGATAGAAAGAGAGAGAGAGAGAGCCTGCATCTTGATAAAGCGAAAAAGGAGCCGCGAGCATCCGAGCGGATGCATTTCCGATTACGTTATCCGCCTCACCAGAGTACATGGAACTGATGCGACTTTCGTTTCCTTATTTTTTAAGGATTGTTCGTCAAAATAATTTAGAAAACTTTTGGGCAGACTACGGTAGATTTCATTTCGCGAAAGAGTTTCATGACTTTTTGTGCGCGCATTAAAATGCAACGCTAAAAATATGCCGATCTTGTCGCTTAATTCTCTGCTGTTGCTAAAGAAAGACAAAATAATAACGAGAAACTTTTAATTCCTATACTATTTCTAGTAGTCACTTTTGCCGATAACTGATATGCCGCATCGAATCCTTCGATAAAATGCTGACATTTTTTTTTTATAAAAGAGCTTACGTTTTAAATTTTATGGAATTCTTAATGTATTTTCTTTCAGTCTCTTTAAGTAATTAGTCATTTTTAACTAGACAAAGAGGTGTCTTAAATCCTTTCACTATGCTGTAAAGTGTCCGAGCAGCGGACTCACATTGTGCCGCGAGAAAATATTAAGTAATGAATCTTAACTCGTCTAAGATATATTAAATGAAAAGTGTTTTTCATACCGCGGTCTGAATAATTTTAAACCTAATAATCTCTTTAGGGGTTGCCAGTAATAAATAACAATGGATCAGTTTAGTCGACCTTGTTTAATAAATTGAAAATTAAAAATATAACGTGCGACGTTTCGACCACGGGTTTGGATCCCTATCAAGCACAAATTCCAAAAGGGAACAAACCAATAATCGGAGTTACACGTTTATAGATACAAAGAAAATTACAAATAAAAATTAAAACTAATTGTACCAAAAGTAACGTGTAAAATGAGACGCAATGAATAATTTTAATTGTCAAATTGTACTTTGTACTTCTGTTATCCAAGACAACATTAATTACTAAAATGAAGATTCATACTGTATCTTATTAAAAAGAAAAAAGTGTAAAACGTTTAATAACGGGGAAAATGCAATGGATTTAACGAAATGCCTAGCGAATGTTGTTTTAAGCGAATTTATTCCCTGACAAGTGAATTTATTTCGCTGCTGAAATCGCTGTCCTTTTGTTTTCCTTGTGCACGCAAATGGTTTAGCAACAGCTTTCATTAACATTCTCGTTACATTCGAGCTGTGTTGCATATAGGTCAGTAATTTGCCTGATAATAACGTGAAATTTTTACGACGCAGCAATTCTGACGACGCGACGCAAGTGTTCATCGGTCGCGGTCCGCGGACAACATTGACATTAAGATAGTGCATAATGAAGCCAATTTCGCCTTCAAGACAGATAATTTCCTAGCTCTGTAACTTTCCGCAAACACGGCGGGAGAAATGCGTACGACATTTTGATAATATACATTGAAAATATTTTTTAAAAAGAGCTTGAAAATTTTTATACAATTCGAGTGCGAACTTCGAGGATGCGCCGAACGTTCGATTTCAAATAAAATATTTGTGCAAATTTTGCAGGATTCCAAATGTAGTGCGAATAATTCTAAAACGCGCCGTGTAAGACGGACTTCAATTCCCGGGGTCAATTCTCTTTGAGACACACGGCTCGAAAAACGGTATCCCGGCGTACGGTACCCGTTTGCTTCCGTTTTGCTACATAATACAATAGTTGTAATAACTGACTCGGACTCACCTGCTCTTTCGCCCGCTAATTTGTTCGCACGCACTAATTGCTTCCTTCTTGATCTTCGTGTCGAGCTGCTACGCGCTGCTCCACCGAGCACGGTGTTCATACGAGGCGTTTCGCAAGAAAAAAACTCCTCGTTATTAAAAAAAACCTGCCAGGATAATCTTTCCCCGAATCTTTATTTGAAAAATGTCGAACCAAACGTTTCTTTCAATCTTTTTCGCAGTGTTTCTGTGTCCGCAATGAACAAGTTGAAAGAAATATAATCATCGCTTTCGTGTCGCTGCTATTTTCAGAATGCAGCGTCGATGCTATTATTTACCCCATCGTGCTCTGCTTTGATTTTTCCTGAAAATTTTCTTCCGAGTAATTTTTGTCATTATTTGTTTTTTATCTTTCAATTGCGACAGATATCACTTATCAAACATCATCCATTTAAACGCCTTCAAAAATTAAGTAGCGATTGAGATATGTAGTACTAAATCTTATTTGACGTGCAATCGGGTGCGATAGGTGTCTCTTATCGATTTTGCAAGTGACACTCCGTAAGATCGAATGTCTAAAAACGAGTGGCATTGCAGACAGGGGTGACGACAATTGTTGCGTGTAAAATCGTGCGATGACGTGAAGATAAAAACGGTAGAAACGAGAAAGCAGTGAACGCTTACCGCGAACACTAAAATCGCGAAAGTGAGCAAAAGAAAAACTGTCTCGATGGTTCTTCGTGGCTTGTTGGCCCCCGCGGCGGCTCGTTGGAGGAGAAATAAAACTGCGAAAAGGTAAAACGAGCGCTGCGCCCGACAGACGATTAAAGAAAATTATTTTATTCTCCTTCTGTTCTTATATAAATCAGATACGTAACACTTTGCATCAATCAGAATTTTGTGGCCGAAAGTTATTAAATTAAGTAAGAAAAGGCGCCGCTTAAACTAATTAATTTTAACGAAGAGCGTCGGGAAGCGAAAAAGAATTTAGCGGTCAACAAACCGGTTTCGTCATAATCGTTACTTTCCGTTTGCGTTTTAGTTAATGGAATCCGATATCGGACGCAGGCGACTCGCGTTCGTTACGCACAATTACTAGTGAAGGCACACGCTCAAGTGTATGCCACTTAAGTAGATCGCTGCGGTAGGCCGTTGAAAGAGCCCGGGATCGTATTGCGTTAATTGATTCAAATCCGTTTCGTTGCAGAAGCCAGAACGCCGCCTGGGATAACGTAAACGCGCCTGTCGGCCAATTGGGACTGTCGCGATATGGACCGCAGGTGATGAGCGTGCTGTGTTTATGCACCTCCAGCATCCACCAATCCACCCGTAAGGTCACGCAGGCCGGCAAGATACTTCCGAGTCCGCCGTCAGACACCCTTTGCGAGCAGCGAATAACGCCCTCGCAGGAAATACCCACTGACGAGCTGGCTCTATTAGCTAAACTGGAAGAAGCCAATAGGTGAATAATATCAAGTGGTCCTCCTCGCCTACCGTTTGATACCGCAGCCGAACCGCCACGCCTCCGAATTCGCAAGACCCGAACAAATTCTTGTTGCTCCGCACAGACTGATAAATCGATGCTTGTCCTAACTAACGCAGAAAGCAAAATTGCCACATTTTCCGTTTTCCAAAGATTTGTGATAAAATTGGAGAAACAGATATACCCTGGACCTTCCTTTTTTGTTTCAAGCTTAGAATAAAAATGCTAAACGTTAACTTTGCTACGCACTTTGGCTTGGAAATGATGCACAGTAGGATGCAGAATAAGCCTGCACTTTTATCGCACAATCAGTATCGAAAAATATGGAAAAAGACGTAAGTTTTGCTCTCCTATTTCCTTCATATAACGTACGAAGTTGATTTGCCTCGCAAATAACGCGCGTTATCAAACTCAGCTATGCAACTTGCGAGAGAACGTTCTATTTAGCAACTTCGTTTTTAAATATATTACATTCGTAAGAAAAGGAAATTCGCCTGTACAACTTTGCAAGATGTCAAGTTACATACGTAACTTGCACAATGGCGAGTCGCGAATAAAGTACTGATTTGTATATAATTTTACACGATATTGTCCGCGGTGTAGAGCGAATAAAGATCATAATCCGTGATCTTGTCGTTTCCGGTCAGGCTGATCGAATCCGATGCAAAGTCACTGAATTCGCTCCAGAGCAATCACAGCAGGAAGGGCTCCGACACATCTCAGGTGTCTGTGGCGTCGGGGGGCAGCGGAGGTAACGGCGATGCTGCGCCCCGACGCCACAACCCAGCCGATGGCGAAGAGAATACGTGGACACTCTGGGGTCACATAGTGGCTGACTGGGATTATCATTGGAAGAAACGAAAAGAATTTGTTAAGGATCTGGTCCGTCAAGGCATACCGCACCATTTTAGGTAACATACGCACTTCGTGTGTGTATTGCACGCGCAAAGTTTTATATTAAAATTTATCATATTATTTTAGGGGTATTGTTTGGCAGTTACTAAGCGGTGCCCACGATTCTCCAGTTAAGAAGCAATTCGCCGAGTATATTAAAGCAACATCAGCCTGTGAGAGGATAATTAGAAGAGACATCGCCAGGACGTATCCCGAACATGATTTTTTCAAGGAAAAGGACGGTTTTGGCCAGGAGAGTTTGTTCAACGTTATGAAGGCGTATAGTTTACATGATCGCGAAGTAGGATACTGCCAAGGTTCAGGATTCATAGTAGGATTACTGTTAATGCAGGTACAATGTTAACAACATTGTTATTACCAATCATGAGATAAAAAGTATGTGAACGATAAGAAATTATCCGTTTATTTTTATGAACTTGTACCGATTCTTTGTTCTACGTGAAAAGAGAGAGAGAGAGCGAAAATGTAGCTGTATTCGAGTAATTTCGTATTGTTGCAGCAAATGCCAGAGGAAGAAGCTTTTGCTGTGCTCGTAGCGTTAATGCAAGAATATCGCTTACGGGATATGTTCAAACCTAGTATGGCCGAATTGGGAGTGTGCATGTATCAGCTGGAACATTTAGTTGCTGATGCACATCCCGAACTTCATGCTCACTTCACGGCCCAAGGTTTCCACACGTCGATGTATGCGTCTTCTTGGTTTCTTACATTGTTCACCACAGCGCTAAGCCTTCCCCTAGCGTGCCGCATTTTTGACGTCTTTCTATCGGAGGGGATGGAGATTATTTTTAAGGTTGCATTGGCGATGCTGCAGTTAGGCAAGGAAGATTTGCTCAGTTTGGATATGGAGGGCATGTTGAAGGTAAGATTTTATTTGAAAAATTGCTCTACTTACACATGAGTCGTCAGATTAAATTCGAGAAATTATTGTCGGCGCTGAAATTTTTTTTCAACATATTTTATATAATACGCGAGAATATATGGAATTGTTCATTTTATTTAACGGATATTTAATAACGTTTTCCTTTCACGCAGTTTTTCCAAAAGCAACTGCCTGGAAAGGCCGAGAAAGATCCTGATGGCCTTATGACGCTCGCGTATGGGATGAAAATCAATCCGAAAAGAATGAAGAAATTGGAGAAAGATTACACCATCTTAAAGATGAAGGAGCAAGAGGAAATGGTCGAGTTACGCAGGCTTAGAGCAGAGAACAGATTACTCAGACAAAGAACTGAACTTCTAGAAGCGGAGTCCGCCGAATTGGCCGATAGATTAGTTAGAGGTCAAGTATCACGCGCTGAGGAGGAGGAGACCGCTTTCATAGCACAGAGAGAATTGGCAGCGCTTCGCCATTCGCACCTCGAAACGAGCCATCAACTCGAGCAAGCTCACGAGGAATTGAGATCCTTGTCGATCCTTCTAGAGGAGAACGTAACGTCGAGACAGTCGTCGCTTGATGAGATATTAGTGAAGCAAGAAGCATTATCGCAAAAGGAAGAAATGATACAGTGTTTGCAAGAGGAATTGGTTAGAGTTAGATTACACGAGGCAGAAAACGATGCACTGATCAGGGAACTCAGGGGAAGGATACAAGAGTTGGAACAAGATAAGAAGACTTTGCGCGAATCAACACCGGACAATTCCGTTGCTCATCTACAGGAGGAACTTATTGCAGTTAAGCTTAGAGAGGCGGAGGCCAATTTATCTTTAAAGGTAAAGTCTGCTATGCCTCCCTACATATAATGTCCCGTCATGTTTTTTTTATGAATATTACACTAATGCTAGATAGATTTACACGATTATGTCTCACGCAGGATCTGCGGCAGAGGGTTATGGAGCTAAGCGCAACTTGGCAGAGGCATTTACAAGAGCACCGGTCTGCTCAATCAGTGCCTGCCGCTGATTCTACGCCAAAGAAGCTACTCTTTTGGGAGAATCGGGGCCACGAGGTGCAGAAGTTCGAGGAAGATTTAATGACGACCAGAATTCGTGAGATGGAAGCGTTGACTGAAGTTAAAGAGCTACGGCTTAAAGTTATGGAGCTTGAAACTCAGGTGCAGGTAGCAACGAATCAGCTCCGTAGACAAGACGAGGGTGGGAAAGTACTTAAAGACGAATTGGAAGCCGCGTTAGCGCGGGAGAAGGATATGGCTGCCAAATTGAGAGAGCAACAGCACAAGTATTCCGATTTGGAATCGAAAATGAAGGACGAGGCTATGATGGCCAGGATACGCGATGCCGAACACGCGCAGCAAGTGGCGGAACTTACGCAGAAAATATCCCTTCTGGAGCTGAAGGTTACTCTCGCATATATATATCGATGCTAAAGTCAAAAACATAAATATATGTCTAACATTTTTATAGAATGAGGAGATGCATGCGGAAGGCGAACTTAGGAATAATTTAGATGACAGTGAGAAAGTAAGGGAGCTTCAAGATAAGGTCGCTGAATTGAAGGCCGAGGTATGTGGAATTAAAACATTTACCTTGTTGTACTAACAAAAGCAGTATCTCGGAATATTGCAGTAAGGGGTGAACTATGTTTTATGGTACAAAATATATATGTATATTCTTCATGTAATATAATGTATATTAAGGGGCAACTCGCAATAAGTTAATTCTACGCAGGCATAACTATATAAGCAGATCACACATGAAAGCGTTTTATCACTGCGCAAGAACTCTTCATATAGCACACATACATCGGTGATATCTTGTTGTATAAATACATTTATTGGTACTGCAATTACATTTTCAGCAATAATTAAACTTTCCAGATGTTTCACGAAATCCCACTCAGAGATACAATAAAAGTATTTGTTTCACCGTTTTTCTTAAAGCACTGCATTGTGTTTTTCCTCCTGATTCTGCAACATACATGTGATACTGCGTTTCATAAGATGATTTGACTATCATGATAAATACATTACGGTGTTGATTATCTTTCTACCATGTTGATCTTGATAAGCCAGGTATTTACGTCGTTTAAGTGTGATATATGTTATCTCAGGTTGTGTATAAACGACACCGTACAGTCCTAATACAAATGTATTATATGTAAATTGAACGTTTTGATTTTTAATGTGCTAATCACATATTGCACTCATACAAACTACAGAATCGCGCCTACCATATGCAAAAAAGACATTCCACTTTGCCAAGTCCATGAACATAAAGATACCGTAACTCATTATCGATGTCATACACTAACAAAATGCACAGATCGCACCTCTTACTGCAATTTAACGCTAACCAACACGCTTCGTAACGTCGTCGCTTCTGGTGGACTGTAGAGAGAAAAAAAAAATTACTACCATGACTGAAATCTGTCTCGTCAGTGAATATTGACACACTCCATTTCCCCGCGTAGCTTGTTATTTCATTAATTTTGCTGCCGTTTAATGACCGCTGTATTAAAAAAACCTGTTACGTGCATCTAATAAATTAACTAATGCTGTGTCTTTCTTTAACAATAATAAGAACAGGTCGAGGCTTTGTCACCGAATCGGTGAATGTACAGGTGCAATTTTTTTCGAGGCAGCGTACACTTGTTGCGCGAAGAGATAGTATCAATGAGCTACATTCTTATTGTGCAAGAGCGTAAATTAATGCTAACCAGAAGGGACTAATCGTTGTTGCAAAACTAACCCTCTATTGCTGTGTTATCTCTGTCTCTCCTCAGTTCCCCACGCCAATCACCAGCCCGGAGACTGAGCCTTGGCGCTGGCTCGAGTAAGTCTTTACCCATGCGTAAGCATCATTTTCTACCGTCTCCGTGTATGTGCGTGGCATGATGTTTCTGTAGACGAATCACTCTGGCGTTGTAGCTTCTCTGTGTACTTATTGCCTGTCGTTTTTATCCATCTGGAATTCCATTCGGAATTCTTGCTTGTATTAATGACAGCGTTCATTTACATAGCGAGTAAACAGACCTAGATTTGCAATTCGTAATTATATGACAAAGTCATTATACATGTGCATTGCAAATGTATGTTGGTATATCGATATAATCTGTTTCATTGTAAAATCTTAATTAAGTTCGATCGGAGAACAGAAGTTGTCCGGCGTAAAAGAACGTAGCGGATCGAAGATTACACTTCATTGACTTAACGTACAACTTTCAATGATGTCGTGCAAAGCGACACGAATGGTGCTACATCGGTAATGAATTAAATTGAAGCTGAATTAAAATGTGGCTCACTTTCTGTATTATACGCGTGGTGATACAGCATGTGGCGTGCTCTTCCCGTTTAACGGCATGCTTCCTTAAGATTAAGTTCACTGTTTCGTTCTGATAAACATTCACGGCTGCTGCTTTTAACTCGAAGAAGAAAAAACGCATAGATGTGAAAGAGGCGTGAAAGTATCCGCGCAGACGTCGTTAAAGTTCACCGTAAATTAGCGCGGGATCGAGTTTTGAGTTTTTTTTTCTTCGATGTCTCATCCTATTTGCATGATTTCATCTGATGTGTCAAGAAAGCTGTATCTACGTTAAAGCAGTAAATCTTATTGTTAGCGATAGAAAGATCTTCATTTACAATTAACGAAATCAGAAAGTTTGCAAACTAATTCTTATAAGATGTCCTTCAAATTACAATTTTGCAAGCTATCTCTTTGCATAAAGAAGACACAATTTTTTATTTTGATCTCGATTGCGAAAGATAGATAATTATAATCGTACAGGGAAGTAACAATATATCTCTAGCAGATAATTGCGACAGCTGAAGTATCGAAACTTCAGGTTCAATCGGACGGAATAAGCTTTTCTCTTAACATTCCGATCTCTCTTTTGTGTGTAACGAGAGTCGAATATATTATAAATATTTTCCATTGTGCGGCAGGACGTCGCAGACTCTGTCCTTCTTCCCCTGGAGAATTGCCTGGAAATGCGTTTTGCATCACGTTTGTCTGTCGCAGGTCATGAGACTAGAGAGCTGGAAACAACGGTGGACGGGACTCGGCGGGCAGACCGTGCGAAGTTTTAGCGTCGATACTGAAAGCGAATTGGACGAGCGGGATCTCAGAATTTGCTTGCAGGATCATATCAATACGACCACGCCAAACTCACCCGAGGTATAGAATTCTATGTATACCAAGACCATTAGGCAGCTAACAATACTCCGTTATCGATGCGCGCGAACCTTTTGTTCGTCGGCTTTCGCTGTAGGAAATAACGCGTGTATGCGCTTAGATTATAACACGACGGTAGACCGTAAATAATCCTGTTTAGTTACGTGTATTACTATTAGGCCAAATATAACAAATACGCATAGCCGTTTTAATTACTTATGCTGTAACGATGACGAAACGTAACAATGAAACGATAGATGCTTTCGGTAATCGAAGTAATCTCGATCGTAATCAGGACGACGCTTATCGAGACGAGTAATTTGTATTGTAAAAAGATTGGTTGCAATTCACCTAATAGACGTTGAAATTTCTTCGGGACATTGCAACGAAGTAATCTGTCGCAGCGGCAAGTAACGTTTTTTTTCTTCACTTTTTTTTACTATAGCAATATTATTAGTATTACATTTTTTAGATTACATTACACAGAGTATTATAGAGCACACGTTAGCCGTAGCTAATAGCAAAGTACGATAGAATGTAACTAACACTTGTTTTAAGCGGTAAACGATCGTAATAGTAATCTAATTTGAAAGAGACTCATAACCGGTACGTAACAATCTGGGAAGAACGAAATTTGAAGCGTGCAAGTTAATTCCATTCCATGATTACAGAAAGTGCTTGTTGTAACGTTTATTCTTTCTTACTGTAAGTAGCGAATTTGAATTTTAACAGTTAATTTTGTGTATCAGCAGAGCTAACTTGAATCGGAAGCTTGAAATCGGATCAGATCGCGCGTTATCTCTTCTGTCGAAATGCACATTCTTCCAATAACTTTGATAACTCTTCGAGGATTACGAAATGCATTCCAACTCTTGCCTAATCTCGCATCTCCTCGTTTCCCGGGGGAGAATAGTTATCGGAATTAATGGTAAATTTTAATACTCAATATCTATTTTTTTTTAATTATCTGTACTTTCGCGGACGTAGACTCTTATAAGAGAGTCCACGTTTATTTCTTAACGGATGCAGGACTCGATGTCGATAACTCGTAATACTTGGAATGTGGAATTTTTTTTGCGTTGTCCAAGGACCCGGACTGTCTTTTCCGAACTTATCAGAAAGCTTGATTACGATCCGTAGATTATACGAAGATTATCATAGACTTTCCGTGACACACGCCACTGTTTTTATACGCATGTTATACTCTGTGTATTTTTTGTAATTCATACCAAATGTAATCGCATTTAAGAAGTTATATATATATATATTTAAACCGCCGGAAAACGTGGGGACAGTAATGTATCGCCGTTTTTTATAAAAATATGTATTTATATATTATATACGTGTATGTGTGTGTGCGAGCGAGCGTGAATGTGCGCGTGTATGTGTATGTGTGCACGTGTGTCACGAGGGAATCATCGCATACGAATCACGATTATTCATACAAGACACATATACCGCGCGCGTTACTCGAATCGAAAATTTAACCGTCTAAAATCTTTAAGATACATTACAATCGCGTGCCGGAGGGCGTATCGAATTTTCTTATCATTGTTGTCCGACACGTGTACATTATTTGTAACATATTTAACGAATTTCTTAATTCAATTTTTATCGGTAATATGCAATTTGCGCACAGCACGAGGTGTGTATAGTTAATTAATCGACGTGGAATTGTAAAAAAAGGGAAACGCGATAGATCGGCCGTAGATCGTCCCGAGGGGAGAAGTCTCTCTCTCCCGATCGATCGCGGGTAGCTGAAATTGAAAACGGGCGAGATTATCGGAAGCGCTTGTGTAAAAAAAAGAATTAGCTGCGCCGCGCAACCCGCGGGCGCAGCTCGTTCCTTCACCGTGACTCGGATAATTACTTCCAATGTAAGCGTTCGCGTCTAGCTACTTTCTTTCACAGCGAGTCGCCTTAGCCTACTTGCAAACGGCGGCTTCTCTCGCGCTTGGCCTAAATCGTCCGCGGCCCATTCCTTTGTTGCGTCAAACAGCCGGCATTGTTTTCAACCGCGTCGCGTCGCGCCGTAAATCCGTGGTGTTAACCCGCAAGCCGCGAGTTGCTCTTCGCGCACGCACCTGCGCGAATTAGCGCGAGCGTGTCGTTAACGGCAGCGGCGAGACGACACTCCGATATTATCCGATCGCGCGCGCTTCACGAGCGATCTTTTCGCGGAAACGAGTCGCGCGGATACGAGCGCGAGCTACCAAAATCGATATTAATTAAGGATCGTACGAGGAACGTAGGGAACGCGAAATGACATGACCCGTTGACGACGGTGTCGAGTAATGTATTTATTTGTAAGTAGCACGAAGGCGAAGAATAAAATGTGCAAGACCGAGGAGAAAGTGACGTTTGCCTCTACGCTTCTGGATTCAGCACAGATGTCTGCGGCGATTCTTTTCCGCGGCGCCGTTAAAAAGATTACGCTGTTACACGCTGCTCGATTTTAATTACAAATTCTCGGCGTTGGAGAACAGCAGCTGCGAGCCGCGCGTACAGATGCGCGTTCCGGCATCGCAACGCGTATCGTCTGTACTTTCTGCGCCATTGGATCTGCGTGCATAGACCGTCCTAGAGACCTGCCGAGCTGTCTTTCAGCCGCGAACACCGCCGCCGAGGCCGATCTGTATTAATTAAATCGGCGGCTCGACGTTATGGCTTCGACGTAATTGCGAAATTATCCGGAGAGAGGAATTGTGCGAATTGAAGGGATGCCCTCGAGCGGAGTCGGGCGCCGAGAGCGTTAATCTATAATGAAATTATTATTCGGTAAGCTCCAAGTGAATCCGATATATCGCGTATGATTTCGTTCCGTTATTTATTCTCGAGCTTCTAATGACTGCGCGGCGATTCTCCCTTCGGAGCCGCCGCGTCGAGGCCGGGTAGGACTCCGGTCTAATTTACGTCGTGATAAAAAAAGAACGCGGCTCTGATGTAGAATCCGTTGAAATAATAATGCGGGCGCGCGCGCGCGCGCGGGGCTCGCTAGGTCGAGAACACCCCGCGTACGTGCGCGATGCGAATTCGTTTCGTTTAATTGAATTATTGATCGCGCGCGATGAGCGCGAGGTAATAAATAAACAACTGCGATTGCCTCCGACGGTATCAATAAATTAAATTGCACGCGCTACACCCCCCCGTTGTTTCCGAGAGTAAATCAGTGTCATTAGCCGTCGTTCCCGGGGGCGAATCCCACGAGACGTCCCTCAAGTTTTAGTTTCGGATTTAATCCGCCCGGCGTTTCCGGACTTTGACGAGAGTCAGATTTGTACTTTACGTTCAAACTTTTGTTATTCCTTTTTTCTTTTTCTTTTTTTTACTTGGTGCGCGCATTGCACGCGTCGTTTCTCCCGCTCGCGATTCGCAGCCGACATCGGGATTTCGCGCGTCGACACCGCCGCCGTGTCGGCCGTTCCGCGGCGCGTCGCGTCGCGCCGACGGCGTTAATAATTTAGCGCGCGGTTCTCTTTTTTTTTTTCTTTCCTTTCCTCGCGCGCGGAAAGCAGGCGCGCGTTCGATCGTGGCCGTCGTGCGCCACCGCGTCGCGGCGGAAATGTGGCGTGCGTCCGTCCCTATTGCGACGGCGGAAGGTCATCGAGGGAGACGGTTTGGCGGTCTCCCGAGCTGCGGCGAACGGCGATCGATTAATCTGCCCGCGCGGATCGATTCCGCAGTCTCTCCTGCGGCCACGAGAGGAGAAAGCGAAGAGAGATAGAGAGAGAGAGGATTTTTTATCTAATTTTAAGAAGTGTCGAAGCATCCAACGGCGTTCTGTAATTCTTTTTCTCCCCTTTGTCATTTACTTTTCCCCTTCTTTCGCCTCCTTTTTTAAAGGAGTACACAGAAAGAAAATAACTGCCATATCGAAACTTAAATACTTGACAAGTAATATTTAGACACTAATATCCTGTCACGGTTCTTTGGTTTCTTATTCCTTCGAATTTATGTTTACCACAGTGGAGCTTATGAATGTTACAGTATTAATTTGTTAAATACTTAAATTAACGCGTTTACTATCCCGTGACGTAAGGATGTATAATCTTCTTGCTGTTTACTCTCCCCCCTCTCTCTGCGCTTTTCCCAACGGTACACGTATATTTAAACAAGCGGAAACAGATACGCGTTAATCGCCGGCAGCCGCGGCGCTAATCGGCCGTTCTTTTCGCGCTGCATGCGCGTACGTGCGTTCGTGACCGGGCCCCAATAAGCGAGGCAATCCATATCGACGCGGCCGCGTTTGCGTGACAACGTGCGAAAGCCCCCCAGGCCGATCGGACGCGGCCCCGGGCGCGATATTCTCAACGCGCGTACGATAGGTACGATCCGACGACAACGACATAATGCACCTCGTAATCGGGGGAGAGAAGTAGCGCGTGCGAATGGTATGTACATATTTTCCGAGTGAGTCAGCGGCCGTGTCCCTCCCCGCGGCCCGTGGATCCGCGCTGCGCGCCGCGAGGGGTCGATTAATTGGATCGAACGAGAAAAACGATATTCTATTTTAACCCGCGTGGAGAACCGACGCGCGCGAACGCACGCGCTGCGGCGGCCGCGCGTCCGTGAAAACGCCACGTGGCCGTCGCCACCTTCGCGATAATTATCGCGATTACCTATTCGCCTCTAGGTGCGCACAGTGGACAGAATGGTCGCGACACGTTTGTTTTTTGTTTTTATGAGAAACGTGCATTTAGATCAAGGGTTGCGTTTCAATCTTCGAGGAATATTTTACCCCCCCCCCCCTCTCTCTTTCTTGCGTGCTTTTTTAATTTTGTTTTTTCGCTATGCTGTGTTATGCAAATTCTTTTCTATTCTACACGGAGAGAATTTCCCCGTAAAATTTATCCTGAAAAGTATGTAATCGTGGGGCAACGTGGCAATGCCGAAACCATTTTCTGAGCGTTCCCGATCTGTTCCTCGAGTTCCTGTAAACTCATTTGAAACGAAAAAAGTGTAGCAACCATTCTGTCCATCGCTATGCGCGCATAAGCGCGTTGCGGCCGCTTCTCCTTGCTCTCTCTTTCTCGGAAGGAAACAATCGCGCGCAAGCTCGCTCGTAATTTTCTCTCGCCGGAAAGCCGCGCGGCATCCTTAAAATTGTCACGCGAACTGAAAGTCCAAATCCTGACTCTCTGCTTAGACTCGCTGGAGAAAGAATCTCCAAGTGTTAAAGGAATGCGAGTTCAAGGGCGTTAATTGCCCTTAAATGCCTGCCCTAATCAAATGCGTTGGACGCGGTCTATCGTTTTCCTTGGAGAAGCTCGATTCGCAATATTCTATTTTCCGCTGTTGCCCTCGAAGGGCGATCCACAAAAGCACTCGAGAGGTCCCTATCGCAATTTTTCAGTCCTCTCGCGCGTATTTCGATGGTTTCTCCCCTCTCTCTCTCTTTCTCGGGGATCGATTTTATTTGGGCTATTTCGAGGATTATCTCCGGGTGTCCTTTCGTTCCTGGTTACGCAATCTAAATACGTGCGGTGTATCCGCATCGTTCGCAACAGCGCCGGCGATAAATCCCCAAAGTGGCTTCGTTAAGCGCAATAAACTCATCCCGATACCGCACATTTAACTGCGCCAATGTGAGCGTTCCAGGTTCAATAACTCACGCCTGTTCCAGCGTCAAATTTATACGGCGCGATCATCCACGTCATTATAACGCGCCGTATTTGTCATACAGTTGCTAGATAAATTTTTATGTCGTTCGCCGTAAACGCGAACGTGACAGAGTTTAGTTCAGGTTTGTTGTCCGTTGCCGCGAAACGCTCTTGTCGATTCTTGCGACGGTCAATCGAGGTATAATCTCACGATATTACGTGCGTGCGATTGTTACGTCCTTTTCATTAACGTCGCGTTACGCAAGTTTCGTGTCTCAAAATCGTCTCAAAAATCCGAACGGTTTGTAACCGCACATCTATCCCCCTGGAAATGGTTTTCTTTCGCGCAAGGTGGAGGAGACGCGAAAGCACGCAGCGAGTGATTCGCAATTGAAAAGTCGGAAGACATTCTTCGAGAAATTTTTTTACACGGCGTTCAGTCGCGCGGAAGACAAACGCAGTAGATATTCGCGTCTCGATGTGAATGGGTGACCGTTACGGGGGGGGGGGGGGGTTGTTTTATTTTTATTTTCGTTAAAGAAATTATCGCGACGGGGAGAACTGCAGCTCGAAATTGGCAATTGTTGCTCCCGGCAGCGGAGTGTATTTTCAATAACGCCGGGCTGAAATAGGTTAAACGGTTATTCAACGCGCGCGCGCGCGCGCGCGAGAGAGAAAGAGAGAGAGAGAGAGAGAGAGAGAGCGTCGCACACGGGGCGGCGGAGTTCGGAAAAAACTCCTGGACGGTGAATAATGCACAAACGCATCGTAAGATTTTCCAGGTGGCTGCGTTTTCTGATAACACGTTTCACCCAGATCGATATCGTTTCTTCTCGCGCCACCGGCACCGCCGGGGCAGCGGGGGCGGGGAGAACCGGAGGGTGCACCCTTAAAGCCCCATTTTAGACGGATCGATTTTCAAGTGTTGTCGCGCACGAGAGAGAGAGAGAAGGGAGCTATGCAACTCGTTTTAATTTCTCGCCATGTGGCATCGCGATCGTAAAACTTGTCCACGTCGCCGCGTCGCTTTCGGTGCAACTAATCTTTTTACTGTAATTTGATCATATTCTATCTAGTATTTTAAACAGAGTACCGCGAGTAGGTTGCGGTACAATGATCTCGTTTCCCCGAAAGACAAAAGAAGGCTCTCTAAAGTATTTAGGTATAGTTTACTCTTATACCCGAGACCGTGTGAGATACAATTTTAAGAAGTTATAAACCAGCCACGTATCTCATAGCGAATTCGGTTGGTTGCACTAGTGCGCACTGAGTGCACACTAAGCTTTGTTTCCAGTCAATTATTATATTTAAAGATCATCTTAAATACCTCTTGCAATATTTCTTATTCAGAAAAATGGTCCGTACAACATTTACACGGATCATTTTTTGACCAAATACTCTTCGAACATGTATTTAAGACAAAGTTAAATATAAGAACTGTCTATGTAAACAAGCCTTAGTGTGCACTCGGTGCGCACTAGTGCGAGCAACCGAATTCGCTAAAAGATTAAGCGATCGACGTTTGGTGAAACCGGGCCTTAGGGTGCTGTTACATTTGTCGTGCGGCAAAGTTTTTAAGCGCGTTGATCGGCCACGAGCTAGAAAATTTCTAGATACTCGACAACTTCTCCGTTTTGCAGCCAATCAATACGTTTGAAAAATTTGTCACACGACAAAGTTTCTGAGTGCGTTGATTGGCTGCAGGATAGTAAAATTCTCGAGTATCTATAAATTTTCTATTCATCGGCCAATCA